AAGATCCATCATTGAAAACCGGCCTCGGTGCAAGCCCAGCTTTGAGGAAGCCCCGTGCAGGTACCAGTCCGTCTGGAGATTTTCGCATGCATATTGTGCCGCCTACTGAGGTCAGCACTTGATGATTACATGAGGTTTTCTCCATAGATGTGTACCCGTTATAACGATCAGCACTCGTGATTCCGGCAGTTGCAATTCTGGATATTGGTCGTCCATCTTGTTCAAACACGATGGGGCCTAGGATGTTGTAGGGCCTATCTTGATCTAGCGAGGGCCGGATACAGGGCTGTCTGTAGATGCGATACAAGCTACTCGCTGCGAAAAAGTAACGTCGTGGTAGCTGGGTTCTGTCGATCGAGATTCGCTCGACAGTACAAGTGCCTTTGAAGTTTCGTCACCATTCGGTACCACACAAAGCAAAAAAGATAAGAGCAATGTTGGAACGTAGTCTTGGCAAGATAGCGAGTGGCGTAGCGTAGCGCAGCTCAGTGACAGCGATGGACACTGACTATCGGAGAAATCTTGACCATCGTTGTGATCCGTTTTCCCTTCCTCATCGGGCCGAACTAGCAGGCTCGACCATGACGACCCACAATTAGGCATTCTGTTACCCCTTCAAAACCGACTGTATTACCCCTTCAAAACTCCATTCTATTACCCCTACAAAACTGAAAATTTGCATCGTGAAGCAAGGTCAGATCATGCTCGCGTTGGAAAGGCCCGCACTGCATGGGAAGTGTCGGCTTAACATGCAGTTACGTCACGAAAATAGGAAATTTCGGATGCGTGCAGCGACACGTGTGAGCGCAACTGGAAATAGTACCTGCAGCCTACTATCAGAGGTTGTTCTTTTCACCTCTGCACCTAGGCCAGATCGAGGCACAATATATGCACGCCCCCAAAGCCCCAAAGCCCTCCCGTATCTCTACTCTCTGACTTAGTTTTCACGATGTCCTCTTGGCCGATTCCTTCGCGGCATTTGCGCGCGCCTTCTCTGCACACTTGACTTGTTCCCAATTCTGTCTCACCCACTCCAGAACAGCGTTTTTGTTGTCAGCTGTAACAAACTTTGCCCAAACTAGAGGCTCATCGAGGTTGGGCTTGGGTGATATGCGCGGCTGGTCATCTTCGAATACGACCCATCGCTTCAGGCCTTTCAAAACGACAGCCAGAGAGTTGTTTTGTATGGGCACCGCCACTTTGATATCCTTCCAGAGCTCTTCTTCTGTAGTCTTGAGGTTATGCTCTAACAGCATGGCTTCGTACTCTTCCCTCTTTTCGAACACCATGAGAGCCTCCTGTAGTACTTGCTGCCTGGCCCACTCGTTCGCAGCCCCTCTATCTGAATGTAAAGGCATATAATCCTCAACGAAGCGCTGATACATGGGTCGCTTGGCTTGGCGGGCGCGGTCGTTGTGCTTCTCGATACGATCTTCGAAGACCCTATGTGAAAAGAACCTACCTGTAGTTGGATGTACGAAGTCATTAAATGTCTCACATGCAATTTGTACGCGGGAGAACCCTACCGCTGGTGGCCCAATCGAAGAGATCCTTCTCATCTGTGAAGCCATCCCAGTATTTTGCGACATCCATACCGTAGAACTTGATCATCTTGTCTGGATCTCGTGTCAGGAACAGCAAGGCTTTCTTCTTGTTGTATGGCTCAATCTCTGCTATCCGTACGTGCAAGCCCCGATCGTTGCAGGTAAGGCCCAGCGGACGATGAGAGACACCAACAATCTGCAAGAGATCAGAGTCGCCTTTCATGAAGCGTGTCCATTCGAAGAGCTCGGCGCTTTCTGGGGTTTCATCTCCAACAGAGAGTTCGACATCAACTTGTACATGTGCATCTGGTAACTCGGGATGTGGTACCGCGTAGGAAGACGATCCACCACGCAGAAGATGATGATCAGCTTGGAGGGTACCCTGTATTACAGACCATATCCTGTCCTTTGTGTTCGGTGGTCGAATGCCCTCTACCAGGAAGTCAATATCCCCATGGTCTGGTTTGGCTGGGGCATCGCGTGGAACAACTGCAGAGGTGGAGACACCAAGTCAGTGTATGTACCGCGTGCATTTCGTAGAGGCATAACTTACCAACGCGTTCAAATAGCGTCTCTAGAAGGCGTTGATAATGCCCAGAGAGGGTCTGGTACAACGCTGTTGGTAGACGGGGAGTCTGAACAGGTCTTCCGGACTCAGTTGGGACGTTGGCGAATGCGAGACCTCCCATAGCTAGTAAGTACTATGGAGAACGATGGCGAATACCAGAAAGAAGCAAAAATCGTATTTCTTGTCTTGTAGCCCTAGTTACTATTATGCAAAGTAATGAAATGACGCGCTGATAACGATGCGACTGAATGTATGAGAGTAGTGGGGTGTTGCCTATCGTTGGAGTTCGAAGGTGCACAGGCAGAGCTGGAACGAAGTGAAAGTCAGTCATCACCTAGGTAGGTATGACTCCCAGAGTCAAGTCGGAAGCCTTTCGGGGCTCGATCATATACGCCTTTCTGCTACGGAGAGGATATTGTCATGGCTTTGAATTAATGTCTCCCGTCTTTACCAGCATGGACTTGATGTGTTCCGGGTTTAGATCATCGACTGCCAGATACCAGATAGGTGGAGAAGATAGAAGGAACGTGCACGTGGGGCGGGACTCTTCCGCATTTTTAAGTGGGGTCAGTGACGCGCGAGCATCCCTGCAGCATTCCAGAAATTTTGAGAGAAATGCTCACAGCTGGACTCTCCTTCACTCAACACAAATCCCAGATCTGATATGTCTGATTGCTGCTCACCTGGCGGCCACTGCTCACATAACATGGACACTAAAATGACGGAAGAGATCTCTGCTCGTTTCGAGGAGCTCGCAGCTCTTGAACATGAGTTTGAGGATGTTGAGGAAGAAATCAGTAAGTCGGAGTCCCACTACTACTACTACTACTACTACTACTACTACACCAACCGCGCACATAATTTCAATGTGACAAAGTATGCGCCCTTGCAGCGTGTTTCTGCAATGGCGTGCGCCTACGTGGTCACTCAAGCAAGAGATAAGGCGTGGCTAACACGACTGTAGTCCGCCAAGCTGAAGCTCTCCAAAGCCCTCTTTACCAGAAGCGCGCCGAATTCATTAAGAAGGTCCCGCATTTCTGGTCGCTCGTCTTCGAGCAAGCGCCTCCCGAGATTGACAACTTCATTCAACCCACCGATTCCAAGGTTTTCGCCGAGTGCCTCGAGACCTTCGAGGTGTCGCGATTCGAGCTTAACGACCCCAATGGCTCCCCACGCAGCTTCTCGTTCAAGTTCGGCTTCGCCGACAACGAATACTTCGAAGACAAAGTACTAGAGAAGAAGTTTTGGTTCAGGAAGACAAAGGACTGGCAGGGTCTTGTTTCCGAGCCTGTCAAGATCAACTGGAAGAAGGGCAAGGACCTCACCGCCGGTCTAACAGACGCAGCATACAAGCTTGGCGAGACAAGAAAGAAGATAACAACAGACACTGCCAAGGGCGCCGCTTTTGAGAAGGAGGTTCTGACCGACGAATACCAGGATCTAGCAAAGAAGATTGAAACAGCTACAGATGCCTCAGTTAGCTTCTTTGGCCTCTTCGCTTTCGTATCAGGCTACCGATGGGTGAGTGCCGAAGAGTCTGCACAGGCTGCCAAGGAGGAGAAGGAAAGATTTGAGAAGATCAGGCGCGGTGAGAAGGTCGATGACGAGGATGATGATGAGGAGGAAAATATGCGGGACTTTCAGGAGATCGAGGTCTTCCCAGGCGGTGACGAGGTTGCTACTATCATCGCCGAAGATATGTGGCAAAACGCCATAAAGTACTACAGTAGGTTGACGTGCACCCGACCGCACCTTGTATATCGCTAACAAATCACAGAGGGCACCTTCGACGAGGACGAAGACGATGAAGATTTGTCGGATCTCGATGTTATGGATGCCAGTGACGATGATGAAGACGATGACCAAGAACCAGTCGATATCCGCGCGTTGGTAGGCAAAGGTCGCAAGTCAGGTCAGGAACCGCCATCGAAGAAGCAGCGCAAGGCTTAAGCATGATTACCACGATAATACCCTCATACATTATTTCCCATCCTTCCTGTGTAAGGCGCAGACTTTATACCCAGCAAACCTTACGATATCTCGCCTGCGTATCTCTATGTAGCTATGGTCTCAACGAGAATACTTGGTCGATACCGAATGTTGTACGCGAAGGATGCGACAGTCGCGGCGAAATACAACGAACTACAACACCAATCTTTTACATATTCGATATCTGTGTCGCTGATAATCGACTTCACCACTCGTTAATCCGCGCTTGTTATATCCGCATCTTCCTTTGTCGTTTGCTTCACCAATGCTCTGGCCAAGCTCCGGTCGACGGTCCGCTGATGCCTTTCGCCTTCCTTGTGACCGTTCACCTTGCCGTCTAGGTACGCAGTTCCGCACAATATTTCTTGGAGACTAAGCAATCAGTTAAGGTGGTCGCTCCATTCCCCGCAATAGCTCCGCCCATGGCTTCGAGAAGCTTTGCCTCCACCAATCATCTCTCCCCATCTTCACTCTATGCCTTTTTCGGCACGGAATCCACGCCGGTTCTTCCGTCGACCTATCCATTGATGACGTCCGCAAGCTGCGAGTGAATCCTTACCTACGAACGGTCTGTACCGCGATGAAGCTTGGAGTGTGCCTTAGCTCGTCGCCATTGACCAACGATTGACTTTGCTGGCTCCCGCAGTCCACTACATCGGACGTACGAGGATCTTTTCGAGCATTTGCTTGAGGGGTTCCATGCACGCCGAGCTCAAATTTCCGGGTAATGTCCGTCTACCCAAGAGAATGGTGCCCGAGAAGTCCATGTCAGCGCGGAGGTCTATGAAACTATCCGGTATGATACGGATAGGCCTCGTTGAGGTACTTACCTTAAGTACCCTCTGGTCCGTACTGTCTATTGAAGCATCGATTTTGCCATTTCAGTCCGAATCCCTAAAATGGACCAACTACTGCCTTTATTTGGCCTTTTGATGCTCTCTACACCGGTTGGTGCTCAGAGCAATGGAACAGCAACTATTTCCTATGCTTTGCCTGCGGGCTACACAACCGCAAGTTTCAACGCCTCTGCACAACCTACTGCCTATAACCGCACCGATTTCTCGCCCAATGCCCTCGCAAGTCTCTGGGATATGGTAGGGCCAATTGTGACAGGCCCCATTACCACCACCGTTACACCAACTCCGGAGCCAACGGCATACCCACAGCCAGATCCCCAATACTATCATGCTTTGGTGGGTAGTGGATACCCAGAAGCACAGGGCTTGAAACTTCCCGAGAACTTCCAATGGGGGTTCAGCTCCTCCGCATATCAGATTGAAGGTGCGGCTAAGGATGAGGGCAAAGGACCCAGTATCTGGGATCTGTTGGCACACAGAGGTAAGTCTTGGGTGTCAGAAGTGATTTTGAGACGTATACTGATTTTTCCAGTCCCAAATTTTGTGGCCGACAATACGACTGGCGATGTCGTTGATCAGCACTACTATCTATACAAACAAGACTTTGCTAGATTAGCAAGTCTAGGAGTTAAAGCCTTCAGTCCGAGTTTCTCTTGGCCGCGATTCTTCCCGTTCGGCCACGGTCCAGTCAACGAAGAAGCCATTGCGCACTACGATGACGTGATTGCTACTATGCATGAGAATGGCATTCACCCCGCTGTTACATTGTTCCATTGGGATACCCCACTCGCCATATTCAACGAATACGGTGCTTGGACCGACCGTCGCGTTGTCGATGACTTCTTCAGTAAGTGTTGTTTTACGATGTGCAGGTGAGGCATACACTGACTTGATACGTCGACATGTAGACTATGCCAAGTTTGTCATCACACGATACGACGCCTACGTCGATGAGTGGTTCACGATCAACGAGCCTCAGTACTGTAACTGGCAATATGCGGGTTACCCAGCAGGCGAGTATTACCCTGCACCAAATGGCGTCACTGGTGGCAACGAAGCCCGCTTCCTGTGTGGTCATCACACTCTGCTCGCGCACGCGAAGGTATCTAAGTGGTACCATGAAGAGTTCAAAGGTCGGGGCCGCATTACCTTTAAGAACAGTGGAAACTATTATGAAGCCAACAGCACGAAGCCAGAAGACGAGGTTGCACGCCAACGAAACTTTGACTTTAGCATTGGCTGGTTTGGCGGACCATGGACAGATGGTGACTACCCACAGTCGCTTAAAGACACACTTGGCGACCTGTTACCAGAGTTCACACAGGAGGAGAAGGACATGATCAAAGGATCGTGCGACTTCTACGCCATCGACCCTTACTCGAGTTTCCTGGCTTTTGAGGTCGACGGAGGGCTGGAGTCATGCACAAGCAACCGCTCACACCCGGCCTTCCCTGATTGTGCTGGCTCAGCAAGTGTGGCCCCGAACGGCTTCCCCATCGGTCCTGCCGCTGACCCAGCCATGTCTTGGTTCTACTCGGCACCTGCAGGCGTCCGTCGGTATCTAAAGCATATCACTCAGGTTCTCTTCCCTTCGATTCCGGATATTGTTGTCAGCGAATTTGGTTTCGCGGAGCCTTTTGAGGGGCAATGGTCAAACCTGAACTCGGCGCTCTGGGATCTGAAGAGGGCAGATTACTTCCAGCAATATCTAGACAACATCCTGCTGTCGATACATGAGGACGGAGTCAACGTGACAGGAGCATGGGGGTGGTCGATTTTGGATAATTTCGAGTGGGCGCTTGGTACGTCGGTTAGGTTCGGAGTGCAGTACGTGAACTACACGAGTCTGGAAAGGACGCCCAAAGCCAGTCTGTTCCAGTTCCTGAACTGGTTCAAGGAACACGAGGCGGGTGGGAACGCGACAATGAGGATGTAGACAAGATCAAGAGCGAATACAGGAGTGTAACGAACCATCAAGTATAACAAGGGCAAGAACAGATATGCTATCCTGGAAACTGGCGAGGGATGTTGGATGAATTCAAAGGTTGTAGTTGATTAAGCGACAGAGTGCAGGCCATGCTGGATGTCGGCCAGCATGACAGCGCGTACCCTGTTTCACATGACGTGTTGTCCTTGGCTGTCTTCGTCAACAGACATGTTGGGGCGTAGAAATGGCGCTTTTGCCGCGATAGTAGACGCGATCAAAGGGATAGCGAGCACTCTGGCGCATCCGTGGGCAGTGCCATGTCTGGTGTGTGTTAGCTCGCTTTCTTATCGCGCGATTAGGTCCCTTGTGACAAGAACGGCTCCACCCGGTCAACTTGGTGCGCGTGCCTGCATTTGAATACCATACAAGAGCTAGTAACCATGCTCTGGTGAACGAACTCAACTGTGAACGTGTCTGCCTTGAATACCTACGGGATCCAGTGATTTACACCGTGTTGGGTGACCTATTACACATCGCGGCTGCCACTTGGCACATGAGCTTGACGCATCCGGTTGCGCCTAGGTCCCCAGCTACGGAACCTCGATAAACTACCTGACAACCACCAAGGCGACGGCCAAAGGCTCCTGCAGCTTCCACACAGCCGTACATCAGCACTTTCTTTGTCAGCGCAGCTCCAGCAGTTGTGTAGTCACCCAGGGTCCACGGCCCCGACGGCGGCATCGTCATCTCTCGGCTCGCGACATCGCCAGCTGCTCCAAACCTCCGAGCTCACGTCGGCAACCTCACTAGCTCTCCGGGGCCTACAACGACTCCACGCACACTACACCACCGTCTCTTCGCTCTGAACTGCCTATGCCAACTACCTAATCCTAAACACAACGCCCTGTTAGGCACAGCGCTGCCACCAACCCATACCCGCGTCATCTGCGGGTAACCAGACCTAGCGTTCGTCCTGGCAGACGAAACCGCCCCAAACTCTCCCTCCCCAATCGCCTCCGACCGCCCATCCACCCCGAACTCCCCCGCTTCATCTTCCCCCATAATCTCTGCCCCTCCCAACCAAGCCGCGCCCTCCACTCGATCCTCGTACCAAGCCCACGCCACCACTATCCCGTCCGAACACACTACAGCCGGGAAGCGCAGGCACAGCTTCTCTGGTAGCGACGAAGCCGAAGAAGAGCCTCTGACAAGCGGACCCAGAGGCAGCTTATCCCGTCACATTTCGAAGCGCAGGCGCAGACAAGACGGGAAGATGCGCCTGGATAACGACCACTCCAAATCATCACAATCACCATCGCGCAACTTTGCAAACGGATCATCACAGGCATCAGGGCCCAGGTCTCCCCTGGCCAAGGGTACGAATGGAAGTACGCATAGCAGAAACGAGAGCAATGGCTCGTACACGAATGGAGGGCCGGTAGCAAACGGGGGAACGGTACCTGCCACTTTCTTTGGCCATGACAGGGAAGAAGTGACGCGGATACTGATACAGAGCCTCACCGACTTGGGCTATCACAGTGCTGCGGGCGCATTGTGCAAGGAGAGCGGCTTCCAGCTCGAAGGGCCGACGGTTGCGGCATTTCGAACCTCGGTGCTGAACGGCGATTGGGAAGAAGCCGAGGAGCTACTGTTTGGGTCAAGTACATTTGATTCTGGGGGAGGAGTTGGTCTGGACCCGCCTTATGGAAAGCCATGGGGCAAATCAAGATCACGCCCAAATTCGCAGCGTTCTGCAGGCTTGACCCTAGCCGAGGGCGCAAATCGCGAAGTCATGCTGTTCTGTTTGAAGCAGCAAAAGTATCTCGAGTTACTTGAGCGGAGAGACCTAAGCAAAGCGCTTGCGGTACTTCGACAAGAGCTGACACCGCTTCATCAAGATGTAGGGAGGTTACATGCGCTTTCAGCGTAAGTCTTCATCCCCATGACCACATAGCACACAGCTAATACCTCATAGACTTATGATGTGCCAGTCTGCCGAGGACCTCAGGAACCAGGCTCAATGGGACGGCGCTCGCGGCGACTCGCGGATGCATCTACTCTCTGATCTCTCAAGTGAGCACTACATGACAGATCTCGATAGTCCTACTAACATGCAAAAGGATCAATATCACCCAGTATTATGATTCCTGAACACCGCTTATCTGTTCTGTTAGACGAGGTAAAGGATAGCTGGATTGCAAACTGTCTCTATCACAACACGGCCGCGTCACCTTCTCTCTACCTGGACCATAACTGCGAGAGAGATGATTTCCCAACGAAGGCTGTGCTTGACTTGAGGCACCACAAGGATGAGGTATGGTTTCTGCAGTACTCAAATGACGGCACGAAACTCGCCTCATCAAGCAAGGACAAGACAATCATCATCTACGAAACCAACACCTACAAGGTGCTACATCAGCTCGACGAACACCAGGAATCCGGCATCGCATACCTTGCCTGGAGTCCTGATGACACAAAGATTATAACATGCTGTTCACAACCAGAGAACTCTGCACGGATATGGGACGTCAAAGTAAGATGACCAAATCTATCCACGGACCTCCACTAACATCAACAGACTGGCATGTGCATACAATGCATCAGTGACTTTACCTACCCGTGCACTACAGCAGCTTGGGACCCTTCCGGCTCACGGGTCATCATCGGATCACAGGATGACAGTATGGGTTGTGGAGTCTGGGATCTCGATGGCCAACTCAAACACAACTTTTGCGATGACGGAAAGCTCCGTGTCAACGACCTTGCAGTTTCCGCCGACGGACAGCGATTAGTCGTCATAACTGAAAGCTCTATCGTTGTGTTCGACTTCGCAAGTTACGAAAAGATCGCCGAGTTTCAGCTCGATGATACCAAATTGACAAGCGTCACCATCAGCCAGGATTCGCGACATATGCTAGTCAGCATGAGCCCCGATCAGATTAAGCTTATGGAGATCGACACCGGTGATGTGATACAACGCTTCGAGGCCCATGTCCAGAAGCAGTTCATCATCCGATCAGTATTTGGTGGCGCTGACGAGAACTTTGTAGTTAGCGGCAGCGAAGGTATGTGTGCATACTGTCTTGTCCCATGATCCAATCACTGACGCACGTCTGTAGATTCGCGGATATACATATGGCGCTCCAACGGCCTTCTTATTGAAGCTCTTGATGCACATCCCGGCTGCGTCAATAGCGTAGCTTGGCACCCCAAGGATCCCACGACATTCGCCTCCGCTGGTGATGATCATCGAGTAAAGATCTGGAAACCAGCTTCAGCGTCCCCCATGCCATCAGGCAGTGGCTCAAGTAACGGTTACGGAAGGTAGAGTTGGCAAATAGCCTGGCGTGGTACGCATATACGGTGTCATGAGCAATTGGTGGATGATGGCTTGTACGATGGAAAGCTATGTGTTCTGTTGCATTAAATTTGGCGTCAGATTGTGCATGGTTCATATGAGGGCTGGGCTGCATGACTTTTCTTGGGTATGTGGGTTGCGCGTAGCATTTTTTCTGACCATTCGTGCTCGCACTCCCCCTTCGATATGACGTATGTTATTATTATTTAGACACTATGTGTAGTGAATCATCTGTTCTTGAGTGGATAGCTCTCTATGTGTGCATGAGTTTGCCTGCCACAGATCAATACTTCATCGTGTTCCTGTAACATTCGCATCTCTTTACTCTAGACTTTGTAACGCAGTGTTGTGACGTTGTCAAGACAAACCTTTGGCTCTTCTATTCCTTCACATTCCCAGCTCGCTCCTTTCTATCACATCTTCCCTTTCTTTCTGATACTTCGCCCACATTGTCCCAACAGCTGCATAATCTCCAACTGTATCCGCCTTGCGGTCCCATATCCAGCTTTGTCGAACCCCTTCATTCATTTGTTGTGATCGCCTCGCAACCCTTCGCTCACCCACCCACAGCTCTTCTAATGCCCCAAGACTACCAAAGGCCAACCGCGCAACCTCATTCTCAGCCACTACTCTCCTTTTCTCGTTATCTTCCCACAACGCACGCCTTGCTTCTTCAGTCTTACACTCCATAACAGCTCGTTTCCAAAGCCCCCGATTTCCCATGTCTAGATACTCGATCTTGCTGATCTGCAGCGTCTTGAGTTGTCTCAAGCATGGTCCCAGTACATGCATCATGGATGCGATGTCAGCTCGGTAACAGTACGATTCACTGCGTAGCACGAGATGATGGAGACGCGGGAAAGTGGTGGTGAGAAAGGTGAGTTCAGGAAGAGACCAGCTAGCGCTTCCATCGAAACTTCTCAGTCCCTCTGCACACTTGAAAAGCGAGTCTTGGTCGTTTTGCAAACTTGGGGGCGGCATGGTCTCGAACAAACTCTCCAAGTCGGTATACTTTTCCATTGCACAGTCCTCCCCATCCCCCTTCCCTTTTAGCACCAGGGTCTCTAGGTCGGGACAATGAGTTACCAGAAACGCAGCACTGCTATTCACAGTCAACGTCTTCACTCCTCTTAGCGCAAACAACTCAGGACTCAGAGACGAGGAACATTCGGTGAATGCAGTCGAAAATATGTCCAAACTCCGGCTCATCATCCTCACCTCCAATCTCTCTAACCGCAGCAAGCTTCGCACAAAAGTAAACAGATCGATTGCATCACTGCTTGATACGTAGGCGCCCGAACACCACCACCACAAACTGCCGAACATATCGATTTTCAGTGTTCGGACGTGATGGTGTAGATGAGGTGTAAAAGTGTTTGGGTCAAGTGCTTTGAGTGGGGCGGTGATGCGTATAGTGTTGAAAAGTTGAGGGGTCAAGAGATGGTAGAGACGGCGGTTTGTGAGTGAAAGATGTTTCCAAGGGGTTTGGTGGTGGTGGTGTTTGAGGAGGTTGCATATAAGTAGTAAGACGTCATCGCAGAGGTCAGGTAGGGTGAGAGTTTTATGGACCGTTGGAATCGGCGATGAGTTCATCAAGCTGTCGATTCGTACAGATCTCGTTTTGGGTGTCATTGGGTCCATTTTGACGTGGGAAAGACTGAGAATTTGAGTAAGTTTGTAGACATGTCATCGTGTTTGCGATCCTGATTATGTCAAATAAGATGGGGATGTGGATTGGAGCTAAGGAGCTACCCCACGTTCTAATACACACTCGTTACTCGAAGAGGTTAGTTATCTTAGAGCTCCTAGGTCGGCTTATCAGAGTTCAGCAAAGATCGGGTGGGGAAGTGCAAGCAGACTTGTATTGTTATCCGTACTATTGCTGTCGAACTATTCTTTTACCATCATTAGTCATAATCATAAGTGTTAATCGTATCTGTCATATCGTCTTTGGCTTTGTCGGTCCTAGGCAAGGCACAAACGTCCACCACTCCACTTTTCTTACACTTTCAACTCATTCTTGGGTATCCGCGACATGCAACAATTAGGTCCAGAAGGAAACATTCAATGCTTTGGTAACGCGAAACTGATGCAGCTCTCAAATGACGCGGACTGTTCCTTTACCTTTCCCGAGGGTTTGGGAAGAAGATATCAACATATCCCTTAGTCGATCTTCGGCTTTTGCTAATTCTGATCGGCTGTTATGATCGAGACGCGATGGTCGGGGCCATGGCAGCCAAGATTTGATAGAGCCCAAGGCGCCAGAGTGCGTTCGTGACGCTGGGAGACTACGCATAGACGCCCCACGTTGGTGTGAAGGAGTTCTTCGGGGTGTAGCAGTCTGGGACCGAGCACTCAACGATCCATCGGTATCCCTGACGATGTCCTGCATCGCCGATGAAGTATCTAGGGAAAGGTGCTTCGATGCTGTAGGTGCGGCAACGGTGATGGCTGGATGTGAAGAAGAGGTGGAGGCTTGAACCGCCCAAGCCGGACCTGTGTCTTGAGTTTGAAGCTGTTTCGAGCTGCCAGCCTCTTGCTCCCGGAAAGTGTCGCCATCTATGGCCTTTCTCTTCCCACTACCACCACTAATGACACTCTTCAGGCTGCCATATGCTGACTGACTACGTTTCTTACTACTCTCCGCCCTACCATCTTGCGCCAACCTTTCGCTGGAGCTGCTTGCTTCAGGCACAGCCATAAGCGTGTTGTCTGCAGCAGTCCACCCTTGACTGATTCTATTTAGACGACCTCGTCCCGCCAAGGCTCCTGTGCTGGTAGCCCATGCCGAACCCCCACCAGTTATTTCTCCCTGTGGTGGTAGATGAGAGTCGTACTCGTCAGCTAGACTCATTCTGCTTCTGGCGCAGATCTCGGCTATGGCATCGATGGCATCTCTGATCTCAGGGTCAACGGCACGAAGGATGGCCGAGAAGGAGAATTCGTCAGCGGAGGGTAGTTGCTCGGTCCTGCCTGCCAGACCAGCCGACAGGGCTGAAGCATGATTCTGACCGTTCATCGCAAACGAGCGTGGCGTGTTGAAGCCGGAACCAGGGCGCGATGCGTGCCGCGATGCCGAGTATGTGCGTACTACGACGGGCTGGCTAGTGACAGTTGTCCGACTAGAAGTGGACTTTGCCGACTTGCTCTTAGAGGGCGACGAGTGGAAGGCAGGTGCGTTCAGAGCGCGCAATGCAGCAGACTGGGTCGGTGGGATTGTGTTGGTCAGGGTAGTGGTTGCACTGGGCACTGAGCCCGAGCTCGCTGTCAGGTCAGAGGTGCCTTCTGGTGCATCTAGTGGTTGCGTGTGGGCGAGGACAGGTTCGCTCGACAGTATAGGCTGAGCACTAAGTGTAGACGTGGTGTTGTTGCCCAAAAGGGTCGAGAAGACGCCCAAGGGTACCGACTGTCTGGCCGTCGCTGTAGGCGTCAATGGCTGTGGGATTGAGTTCGACTCGGCGGTACCTGAGCCATGTTGCTCATGGCTGGTCTGAGGGGCAGAGCTGGGCGGGACCCATGGCGCCTGGAAGGGAACGCGCGGGTCATTAGACATGCCGGACATTGTGGATTCTGCCTTCTGTAGCTGCAGGTCAATGCATTGCCGCTATGCGACGCCGTCTGAGTTGTTGGGTGAGCTGCCGTGATCGAGAGGGATGCGTTGGCGGCCGACGCGGGCTACGCTTGGCTAAACATTTTGGCCTACCACCGACCCGGCCGCCGTCATTGGGCCGTCGTCACACTATCGTACACACACCCCGACATGTTAACTGCGTTGCACTCCAATTGCCATGTCCTCAATTGCGCACTTCAAAGACCCACATGAGTTTTGCTGTGGCTAACATGCGTCACATTGGTTGTGACCGCCCGAACTGTTTCTGACAGTAGTCCGCCTGTTCATCACAAAGAGAAGGTGACACGTGGGGGTACTGCGTAGAGAAGGCCACCATGTTCCTCACGGATATTCTAAGTCTCAGAACAGCATCCTGTCGTCTGTTCCTTCGTCCACTAGCGGTGCGCACACCAGTTCCTTTGCCTGCCCAAGCTCCTGGCTCAACCAGGACACCAGCCCACCGAGCGCTTCGTCCAATATCTGCATCTCAGCCTTGATGTTGAGCATCAGCATTTTCTGCAGCTCCTGCCTCCAACCTTGCTCGGGGCCTTCATCACTGCATAAGTTCCACTCTAGCATTCGTGCTGCTTTAGTACGGTCGCGCGCTGTTAGTCGCATCAGTCCTTGGGGTTGAGTGATTGCACTGGTGTCTGTGTGCTCTTCGCCTACCGGAGTCCGGCTCATGTGGTGACTCTTTAAACCAAGCCAACGGATTCTGGGCAAACCCGGCGCAGTCGTATCAGTGGGTGTGACGTCCTCATGAGCAAGGCGATACGAGCCATACTTGTACGTCGACAGGATGGCGATACCGTCAGGATCAAGATCCACAAGAGCGTACATGGGGATGTGTGAGGCGTCTTCCGCTATATGGTTCAACAATCTTCGTGAGGCAATATCGGGATATCCCTTTGCCTGTAAAGGATATTAGGTAAGGAAATATCAAGAAAGAGCAATCAAGCTTACAGTCAATACAAGTCCTTTCGAACCCATCGTCTGCCACTGTGGTGAGCTCTTCAAGGATCTGAAAGTGGCCTAGGTATGCGTCAGCGATAATAAAAGATAGTTTGCAGCATCAGTGATACCTCTTTCTCGATGATAAGAACCCAATGTACTTCTGTCAGATCTAAACTGTCGTTCGCACTCAAATTGGGAACGATAACACCCTGCCAGACCATCAGCGATGTGTCACAACTCGACGAGATGGTCTCACCTCCTCGCTCATACCGTTCACAACATGACCGTCATGTCGGATTAATCTGAAGTTACCAGCTAGTAAGCCTTTTGCGGCAGCAGTCTAAGATAGAGTGTTAGCTGTGCTTCGGCTCATGCCACAGAGCCTCGCGTACCACATTCAATTGGGATCGGGTGATGCCGAAGGTACAAGCCAAGTCGTCGACATATCGATCAACGACTGACTGCTTAATGAAGAGGTCTGGATGTCGGTAATATATATCTCTGCATCGGGTCAGATCGTATCATCTGTGTACAAAGACGAGATGTACCTCTTCGTCATAACAGTGTCCACGACAAGGCCAGAATGGATAAGTTCCAGGATGCGAAGCAGTACAGCTGTGCAAGTGTCAGTGTTTTCTGATCATACGTGCATGTGTGTACCTACTAAAATTCCATGCCTCTTGCGCACTTGCTCCAGGAAAGTTAATATTCCGTTCTTTAGGTTCCGGAATCATCGCGCTGCCATCCGATGTAACAGCAGTCCGTCTGCGAGATAGGGCTGCGCGCGACTTCAGAGTGATAGTGAGCGCTTCGTGCTCTTCTAGCAGAGCGTTCACAATCGTCTCTAGTATTGCTTCAATGCAAGCGATCACCCAGCGTCTACACAAAGATCAGCTATAGACAGTTCAGCTACGGAGATTGATGTACCTGTCGCGTATCGGTCTTTGGGTGAGATTAGTTTGATAGTGCTGGTGTCCCTCCTGAGAATCCAGGGTAGTACTGGCAGTTGGAAGTGTCGAGTCTGAACTGTTCGATATACCCCACAGCAAAGTCTCTTCTCTGGAAGTAGTGAACAGTAGCTCATCATCAGTGTCCTCCGACAAGGCATCATCAGGAGCGGTTTGCAGGTCAAAGTCGCTAAACAACATGTCCTCGAAATCGCTCGTATTCATTGCGGGACTGCGGAATGGCGGGGGACGGCCTCCTAAGTTGAAAACTCCTCTTTGATCAGCAGAACGAAGATTACCAATTATTGGAACTCGGCAAAGCACGCGAAGTGCATGGTGGTGTTGGGACGGGCAAGCCGTTCACAGAACGCATGTTTTGCATGTGAGTATCGTCATAAGGCAAGTACGATACGCGCGACTACAACCACAGAAGGCAGGTCCACTCCGCATGGTTGCACATCAAATCCATGATGACATAGCTGCCTGATCATTTGGGGCATTGTCTACTGTTGAAATGGTGCTCAGGGTATTGATGTTCGTATCCATTCCGCCCTAACGCTAAGAGGAAATTAGAACATGAAATCGCTAAAGTATGGCCATTCGAATAGTTGGCCCCAGTCTCACTTTCCCGCGCTAGTCCCCCGAAAGCCCTGGCCGCACGCGCCTTCCACGCGCTGCGCGTCGCGCTTTCCAACTCCGCGTCTCCTCCCGCATCAACGTCCACTACCGCAACCACTCCGTTTATTCATCCTTGACACAACTCCGCCAATTGAGCGCCAACTCTCGAACATTCAGTTCTTGATAGATTCGCAAAATCCTACAGGCTATACTCTCGGCAGCCAACGTACAATATGGAGGACCCCACGCCCGTTGCGCCGGTGCCCCAGAAACGTCCACACGAGAACGATGACACTGAGCCTTCCATCTCAACTCCAGTTAAACAGATTCACTCAGAAGCCTCTTCGCCCCTTTCAGTTCTTTCGGTCCAAACCCCGTCACCCCTCAAGAGCAGTGCTCCGAATTCGAATGCCCCAGACAACAGCAATGCTTCGGCCCCAACCACCTCCCAACCAGCCAAGAGACGGAAGCTTACCACACAAGAGAAGGAGGCTCAACGTCTAGAGAAGGAGGCGAAGGCTAAAGCACGAGAAGAGAAGAAAGCGCAAAAAGAGGCAGATGAGAAGGTGAAGGCAGAGCAAAAGGCGCAGAAGGATGAAGAGAAGCGCAAGAAGAACGAAGAACGGGATGAGAAGAAGCGTCTTAAAGAAGAGGAACAACAACGGATAGAAGAAGAAAAGGCAAAGAAGGCACGGGTAAGTCAAACGTCACGTTTGAATCGCGGATTAAATAGTGCTAATCCATTAATAGTCTCAAATGAAGCTTAATGCTTTCTTCGTGAAGCCAAAGGCGGGAACCAGCCCAGGACAGGCCGTGGTAGCTTCATCCCAGAACCTCACTGCTTCATCTGTATCTTTAACAAGCACATCTGGAGTCGATACTAATTTGGCACCTCCATCACCACAGAAGACCATTGTTAAGAACGCACAGTCAGACTACGAGCGATACTTCTTACCATTCAACCTTCCTCCGCACACAATCCTTGCGTCCACGAATCCCCTGCTAGACGACCCGGAACGGTTGGAGACTGCCCGAACACGGCTAGAGAACATTATCACGCAGAAGAGTACTAGTACTGAGACCATCACAAGAGAGACATTGGTATCTTCTCTTCCAAGACGAGACCAGCGGACCCGCAAGACTGCGACCATCGCGGAAGTCATCGAGCGTGTAAATGGCTCATCAGATCAACCCATTGACCTGACTGCAGACAAAGGCCCGTTGGAATTGCTCAAGGACATTCCTATGAAGTACATTCACTTTTGCAAGGACGTACGCCCGCCGTATTACGGTACATATACCAGGCCATACACCGATATGGAGGCTTCTCGGCTCGCACGAAATCCTCTCGCCAGGGTTCGGCAGGACACTGACTATGATTACGACTCTGAGGCGGAGTGGGAGGAGCCTGAGGAAGGAGAAGATCTGGACTCCGACGGAGAGGACGATAACGAAGACGAGGCGGAAGACGACATGGACGGTTTCCTCGATGATGAGGAAGACCCACAACTCAAACGACGACTCATTAGTGGTGATTTGGTTCCTGTGAGCACCGGCTTGTGCTGGGAGGACGCAGACCGAGTGTCCAGGTTGAACGATGGTTCCGATGCCATATGTACCGACTTCAAGGATTTCAGGATGGGTTTCCTGTTGGACCCGCAAATGAGCTCAATTGACCCGTTCTCCACGGCATACTGGGCTCCAGACCCTGCGACAGCTTCTACTACTGCCAATGCTACGAAGAAAGAAGGCTCTGTCAATAGCGCTATGAACCCGCCTCGAGCGCCTCTGGTTCAACGCTCCATGAACGGCTTGCTTAACACGCTGAATGGTCCGCAGAAATCCGCTGCAGCTACTCCGACTAAGCCTGCGAAAGCCAAACGACAAGTACCCACTGAGCAGCTGCCGGCTTTCAAGGCCGAGATTGAAGGTAAAGATTTGACCAAGATTGGTATGATCGAGGCGCTGAAGAAGGCGTTTCCAAAGTTGCCCAAGGATGCTATCAGCAATACCTTGAGCGTAGTCGCTGCAAGGGTAGGCCCCACCGAGAAGGAGAAGAGATGGGTGCTTGTCAACACCTGAAAGCGTCGCGTTGTTAACATCACATTCCGGTCAGCCCTTTGGCTTTCGCTTATCATGTATACTGCTTTTTCCATGTGTGTTAGTAACATATCTTGTTAACTACTTTGGGACCTATGGGGATAGTCGTTTAACATAGCGGGTGGTGGCGTATACGGTCAAGGCTCAGGTTTCGGGTGTTCCAGAGCCATTAGCAAGCGATGAATCTGCTTTTCAAAAGTCGAGCCGCGGTCCCGCGTTGTGGAAGAAGTGGAATATCAACAGTGTGTTGGGAGGCTAAACAATCTCATCAAGATTACGCGATGAACAAGGATGTTAATGCCAAGTTTGGTTGCATGTGCCATACACGCGCAT